GGTATAAAGGAAGAGTTGGAAGGCAAGGCGGGTCTTCACGACCTGGGGAACGACGTCCAAGGAGTAGGGTACCTCTCACGAGCATGCCGGGGGTTGAAGTTTGAGCCATCCTGCCGCTCCGCCCACCAACCAAACGCCCGGGAGCCCCAGGTGCTAGCGGTCTCTCGACCCCTGCTTCCAGCAAGCGACCCAGGCAGATGAGGAAGGCTCTACCTTTCTCCAGCCTCGGAGTTTCCAAGAGCAATAAGGAGGGGGAGGGGGACTTCGCGGTTACCCTGGAGACGCGCTCCCACCCGCCCCTAGCCGCGGGATGCCCTAGATGTCCTTATTAGGACAAGAGACTAGAGAGGGAGGGGCCAAACCGAACGCCGGCTGGAGGCTCCTTATAAGGCAGCGTCGTGCAAGAGGCGGGAGTTCGGAGCTGGCTGGGGCGGGGCAAGAGTGGAGGATGCAGGATCTAGCCTGGGCGGAGTCTGAGGGGGCAGGTCTGGAGCTCGGTACAAAGCTGAGGGCTGCTGTCCCTGGCAAGACCCTCGTGCCTAACTCCTTTATGTATGTCCCTCAGTATGGTACCCCTTTGCAGTTTCCATCTTAGGCCCGTCTCCCGCGAGTCACAAAAACGGCTAGACGTTCTCCCCTGGGTCCCTCGTCCAAGCTTACGCCCCCGCCTACACCCCTAAATTTAGCCACGTGCCCAAGTCAAGCCCCCTACACCTGCCCTGATGCCCAGCACTACCTATTTGTCCCACTTTTATTTGTCCTCCATCCTCGTCGCTTTGGCCTTCCTTGCACTTCCCTGACTTTGCTCCACTCCCCAAGTGCCGTGTTCCTCAGCTCCAGATCACCGCTTCCTCGCCGGGTCCGTCAGCTCCTCCTGCGTTACCTTTGCGTACTCATCCTATACCCCTTCCTAGATGCCCCTCGTTAGTCCGGGCAGAGGAAATCCTGGTGCAAAATACCTCTAAAAACCGAAGTCAGCCAAAGGGAGAAATAAAATTTTAAATTCGTTTATTGCTGACAAACTGCAGACGGGACTATTACCTCTTCCCAGCTCTAGCAGAAGCCAAAAACCGCCCCTCCCCTCCCCTCTCGGGTACAGATAAGCCCTCCAAGCCCAGGTAATCACCCTCTGATATGGAGATAAACTTCTCTCCGCCCCTGAGGAAAGATGCAAATGCACTAAAGCCATACTTCTTTCCACCTCTGCACACCTATTGATATGCAGAAGTACTAAAGCCAGGCGAGATATTCTGGAAAGGTTACAATTTTACCCACACTCCTGCAAATATAGCCGCACCCATTTGTTCCCCCACCCCCCACTCTTAGGCTCTTCTGAGTCTCCACCGTCCTCTTCACGGGTGACACTTTTAACGGACAACCTCAGATTCCGTTAAACGCCGCCTCAGCCAGCCCTCCCAGCCACCGGAGGCGCTGTTCGCCTTCCTCTTTCCTGCACAAAGAGAACGCCGCTCTCGAATTTGGGGTGTAAGGAAGGGGCGGGTCAAGACGCTGAGGGCCGGGGTGGACCGTGTCCCAAACGCTCGTTCTGGCGTGAGGGGCGGGGGACGAAAGTCCGTAGAGACGCTCGCGGCACTACTTAAAGTAGTACAGGGGCGGGGAGGGCAGCAGGAGGCTGTCTTCTAGTTAGTGCCCCGTGTTGGGACCACGTGGTTGGAGAAGTCCCGCCCTCACCCTCCAGAGTCCGGTGTTCGAATCTTTTCTCAAGAAGTGGCGGTGTCCCAGTCGCGCCGGCTTGAGGCGCCAGAGGACCCACGGTGGGACTCATGGCAGCGCCGGTCCGCCTGGGCCGGAAACGCCCGCTGCCGGTGTGCCCCAATCCGCTTTTCGTGCGCTGGCTGAGCGAGTGGCGGGACGAGGCAGCCAGCAGGGGGCGCCGCACTCAATTCGTGTTTCAGAAGGTGGGGCCTGGCCTGGCCTGATGCGGACAGGTACTGGCCTAGCCAGACCAGGCCTGTTTTGACCCGGTACTGTACCCTCTACCGCCGCCAGGCGCTGCGCTCCCTCCGGCGGTACCCACTGCCCCTGCGCAGCGGCAAGGAAGCTAAGATCCTGCGGCACTTCGGAGACGGGCTCTGCCGGATGCTGGACGAGCGACTGCAGCAGCACCAAGCGTCAGGCGGTGAGCGTTGGGGCAGGGAGTGGTGGTCCCCTGAGCCTCCCCCCGTGCAACCTCCGTAACCACCTGGGATACCCTAGCTTCAGGCTCCCCTCTCCCGTCCAAGTTGCTTTCTGACCTTGAGCCAGTAGCTGGCTCTCAGAGCTTCAACGCTGTCACCAAAAGAGCTGGCAGCATCCCAGACCCTACCACTTGCTGGATTCCCTGGGGCCAGGAGTTGACCATCTTCTGCTCCCGCAGGTGACCATGTGGATCCACCACCTGGAGCAAAGAGTCCAGCCCCAGGAGGGCCACCTGCGGGAGTCCCAGACTCTTCCATGCCAGTGAGGAGGGGACAAAGGGAGTGGGAAGGAAAGTGGGAGCACCAGGAGTTAGTTTTCTGGTTTGGGGGCCTTATCAGGCCTGAGTCAAGACCTCCCACCAGTAACACCTGGACTTGGGCAAATAAATGATTTCTCATTTGAATTAAGAAAAAAACTACGGATAGGGATGTTGATTCATAATAGTCAGCTGAGAGAGTTCTATGATCAAACTATTTAGGGGGCCAATCTAGTTGTTGGGGTTGCTAGTATTGGTTGCTTGCCTTACCACCTCCCTCCTGCAGTGGGTGGGGGCACTGAGACCAGGCCAGGCAGGTTATGCTCCCCCAACCCCCTGCAACTCTCCACCATCTCATCCCAGCTTTGCAGGAGCTTATGCCATCATCTGGGCCGATTTACAGATATAGAGACTAAGAGGCAGCCTAGTGACTTGCCCAGGGTCATGTAGCTTGCTGAGCTGGAACCTGAACTTCAGCCCTGCCAGGAATTCGATCTCCAACAGCTCTCTGGCTTTTGGGCTCAGAGCCCCTCTGTACCTTTCAGATTCCAGCCCAGCGCAAAGCCGGAGGCTCTAGCAGCAGCTGGCCAGCTCGGCACTCAGGAGCGCGAGCAGTACTGTTGCTGCTCTACAGGGAGCACCTGGTGAGGTCCTGGCTGCCACAGGACTCGGGATCCCAGGCAGTGGGCGGGACGCTTCTGGAGGAGACGGGCTCTAGCACTGAACCTACTTTGGTTACATTTCTGCCTTGGTTACAGAGTCCTAGTGGCCACAGCTTCCTAACCAAGGAGGAGTTGCTGCAGAGGTGTACACAGAAGGCTCCCAAGGTGAGCACTGACTTGGGTGGGGAAGCACAAGGCTAAGCAGCTCTGGATCCGACTCTGAGCCCACTAGATTCTGCCCTTCTCGGGAGCAATGCACAGGGAGCTGGACACATAGTGGTACCAGGGGCTCTCTAAGGTTCTCCTCCTGTGAACAGGTGGCCCTTGGGAGTGCTCGGCCCTGGCCAGCCCTCCGCTCCCTCCTTCAGAGGAACCTGGTCCACAGGACACACAGACCAGCCAGGTGGGGTCAACTACAGGGGATATAGGAGGAAGGGAGGGGGAGCATACCTGACATTCTGAGCAGCGCCCTGCAGTCACCCAGCATATGCCAGGCTTTGTGCATAGATTCTCAACAGATTGGGGAAGGGAGGGCTTCCCTCCAGGAACCCACACTATTGGAGTTCCAGGAGGGTCTGAGAGACCAACCAGTAGGTGGGAGGAAGGAGAGGGTGCCACAGGTTATTGGAGGAACAGAAAGGCTTTGCTGAGGACATGGCATTCGACGTGTCTTAGAATCCAGTGGGTAGAGATGCCGGAAAGGCTTACCAGAGAGAAGAAGAGTTTCTCTGAGATGCATTTATTACAGGCTTGAAAAATGAGCCTGGGCAGGTCTAGAGGAAGCTGATCTGAGCAGCAAGAACACCCAGGCCCAGGGACGGGGGTTGTGGAAGCTTGTTTGTGCCTGGTCTCCCGAGCCGGGGAGGCCAGCGAGGCCAGCCTAGCAGGGGTGGGAAGGAGAGTCAGCCAGGCAGGAGTGAAGAAGGGAGATCTCTGCTCATCTCCTCCGCCTACTAGGTACTCATTGACCCCGGAGGGTCTGGAGCTGGCCCAGAAGCTGGCCGAGTCAGAGGGTCTGAGTTCACTGACTGTGGGCATTGGGCCAGAGCAGACCCCTGGGGAGGAGCCGGAAGTGCCAGGAGCAGCCTCGGCTGAGCTGTAAGGATGAGGGGAGAGGGGGGGAACGGGAACAGGAGAGGTCCCGGGAACAAGGCCAGCCCCTGACCCCTGTATCCATCACCGATAGCTGAGCTGTGCCCGCATGCCTCCTATGGACTGGGAGGGAGCTGCCTGGCACTGGGGTTCTGGCCTCACACACACCAGCCCACTCGCCCCTACATCCCCACTTAGAGGCGCCAGCAAAGGGAGTATTCAGCAGCCTCCACTGGAGCTGGGGCCTGGAGAGTACAGGGTGCTGTTGTGTGTGGACGTTGGCGAGACCAAGGGGTGAGTGAGGTGGGGCATTGTGAAGGAGAGGAAGTTGAGGGGTGGCACTGGCCTGCCCTGACAGGCCTCCCACCTTGCAACTCCAGGGCAGGACACAGGTCAGAGCTGCTCCGCCAGCTGCAGCGGCTGCACGTGACCCACATGGTGCGTAAGCTGCATGTTGGGGACTTTGTGTGGGTGGCGCAGGAAACCTGCCCTAGAAATCCAGGTAAGGGGTAAGGACAGTCAGGTGGGTGTCAGAGGCAGGGCCTGGGTGGGGCGGGGGGCACAGACATGAGCCAACAGAACCATTCTTGGCAGCGAGGCCTGGGGAGCTAGTCTTGGACCACATTGTGGAGCGCAAGCGACTGGATGACCTGTGCAGCAGCATCATTGACGGCCGCTTCCGGGAGCAGAAGGTGCCTTTATTGGACTTGCCATGTTCCCTGCTCACTGTCTGTTCTGAGGGCCTCCTCCTCATCCCAGAGGAATATGTGGCGCTTCTGGGTGGCCTTGAGGCAGAACACCCACAACTCCAGCCACATCTCCATTAGAGCTGCTCCAGAACAGCCCTGAGATCAGACCCCTCAGGTCCCTCCAGGTGCACAGTAGGTGGGCAGGGTATTCGGGCTGTGCTGAGGAACATGTGTAAGACCCCTGGGGTGTCTAGCCCCTGCAGTCTAGGGTAATCAAAGTCCAAACCTCCAGGAGTGGAACTGCAGCAGCTGTAGCTCAGTGCTGCCTGCTGGGCTGACCCTGTAAGTCAGAGGCCACATATAGGTCAAGGGAGGTTTGAAAACGGGATCATTCAGAGATGGTAGAATGGCTTTCCATGAAAGAGTAACAGCACGAGCAAGGGTATGGAGGCCACTCCAAGACAGGTAAAGAGGCTGGGGAGGATGAGGAGGTTAATTGGTGGGACCATGGTTCCATTATTATTTTGAGTGGGACATATGGACATAGGGGACCATGGGCACCCAGGCCTGTCCCTCCTGCCCCTCTGTCTGCCTGCCCAGTTCCGGCTGAAACGCTGTGGCCTAGGGCACCGAGTGTACCTGGTGGAGGAATATGGCTCAGTGCACAAGCTCAGCCTTCCCGAGAGCACGCTGCTACAGGCTGTCACCAATACTCAGGTGAGCTGGGAGGGAAGGGCCAGGCTGGCAGGGACCTTGTGGTCCATGGCTCCAGCCAAGAGTCACTGTCCCTCTCTTGATCTTCTGCCCAGGTCATCGATGGATTCTTTGTGAAGCGCACAGCAGACATTAAGGAGTCAGCTGCCTATCTGGCCCTCCTGACGCGGGGCCTGCAGAGATTCTATCAGGTGAGCAAGTGCATCGGTCTGGTATTGGCCCCTTACTGGGGCCCTGTGCTCCCCAAGGAAAGCAAGGTGAGTGAGAGCCTTATTTCTCAGGCTGGCCCACTGAGGCCTGGGTTTGGGTGAGCACTGCCTGGGGCTGTTCCCTACAGCTCTGGCCTGGCCTCACTCCCCTTTTCCCTCAGGGCCGTGCCCTCTGCAGTCGCCCCTGGGGAACCCCAGGGGATGCTGAATCAGGGTCCAGGCCCTCCCCAGATCCTGTCTGTTCACTCCTCACCTTCAATGACTTCAACTCAGGAGCCATCAAGAACAAGGTACTGCCCCTGCCCAGCCCCTCCTTACAAGTTCTAGCCCCAGACCCTCCTTATTGAGTCTCCCCAACCCTAGGCCCAGTCAGTGCAGGAGGTGTTTGCCAGGCAGCTGATGCAGGTGTGTGGAGTGAGTGGGGAGAAAGCAGCAGCCCTGGTGGATCGGTTCAGCACCCCTGCCAGGTAGGCCCTCACTGGGCCCCTTAAAAGTCCTCTGCTCCTGCCCTGCCTGCACAGAATTCAGCTCGGCCCATGTTTTGTGGAGAGGGCTGGCCAGATCCAGAGATAGACAGACCCAGATGAACTCTGGGGAGTTCATGGAGGTCAGGTGGTGAGGAAGATGGAGTCAGCCAGGCCCAAACAGTATTTCAAGCATTAGGGAGTCTACAGAAGGAAGGAAGACACTCCAACTGCAGCAGAGGTGGCTTCCTAGAGGAAGGGGTTGGGCCATGAACGCTGGGTCATAGATGGCCATAACTGGGGACCACTTGCAGAAGCATGAAGGGAGGGCAAGTGGGATGGAGCCCTTCAATGCCAGGCTTAGGAAGCGCAGCAGTGGTCTTGACTCCTCCAACCCATGCTGACCCCTTCCTGCCTGTCTTCCATGACATTGGCCTGAAGCAACTCAGAATGGGCCAGCAGTGTGCCACTGTCAAGCCTTAGAAACTCAAACACCCCATCCCATCCCCAGCCTACTGGCCGCCTATGATTCCTGTGGCACCCCCAAGGAACAGGAGATGATGCTGAGCACCATCAAGTGTGGGCAGCTACAGAGGTGAAGGCAAGGGACAGAATGTGGAGGGTGGGGTCAGGACCACAGTGGCCCGGGGCCTGACCCTTGCCTGTATCTCTCTTCATGCAGGAATCTGGGGCCTGCTTTGAGCAGGACCTTGTCCCAGCTCTACTGCAGCCCCGGCCCCCTGACCTGACCTATGCCACGAGACAGACCCCAGCCTCATCTTCCCAGGTTCGCCAGCCTTTTAATCTGAATCTCTTGGGCTACAATAAAAACCTAAGTGTTTGCAACTGCATGTGTTGTGGAAAAGATGCCCGGTCCCAGAGGCCTTGTGAGATGTCTAGGCAGGAACTCAGGGAAGTTGGGTCCAGGGGTTTTAAACCGAGCTCCTCAGGACCTTGGGGTCCCCTGGTGGAGCACTGAGACTGCTAGGGAGACAGAGTCAGTGAGGCACTGCAACTTTGAATCTAGTCTCTGTCATCAGAGTTCCCTGATGACGTAAATTGGCCTTTGATAAGAGCTTGGAAAACACTAATGATCCAATTGCCTCTCATTTTATGGATTGGAAAACAGGCCAGGGAGCTACTTGGGTTTGTGCAAAGTGAACATTTGAGGCCAAGCTAGGAATGAAACACAGCGCCTCTGGGCACTATTTAGAGCAGGGCTTCTCAGGGCCCCTGCCAACTCGCCAAGCCCAGATTTCTGGGCCGTAGCCTGGAGTCTCCAGCCTCAGTACCTCCTCTCTTCTCAGGGTGATTCTGATGGCCAAACCCCAGCCTTGGGGACGCAGCTGCCAGCTTGCATCAACAGGGCCTCCTCAGCCTAAGCAGAGCCCCCCGCCCCTACTTTGAGTGGACTTAGCCCACCTTTCACAAGCCTGGCCCCTTCCCCAGTCTGGGGTTCACTACAGTGTTACCCACCCCACAGCCACCAGGACTCCTTCTTTCTCCCTTTATTGCCTTTCTCTGTCTACCTTTCACAACAGCATCTCCCCTTTTAGCAGAACACAGTCATCCCTGAGCCCCAGGCTCCTCAGCTACAGGGAACTGCCCCCTCCCTGAGGGCTCCCCCACCCACTCCTCAGAAGGTGTAGGCCCCCACGAAGACGGTGAGTCTCAGTACAGAGCTGGCCCGGTAGCTCATGAGGGAGTTCATGGTGACCATCTCGAGGTCCAATACGTACTCCCGGGGGCCAGTCACCGGCCGGGCGAGGACCAGCATGGCGCTGACGTTGTTGATTTGCTGCAGGGCACAGTGGGTAGGGGGACACACAGATTGCGTCAACCTATCCATAAGAACCCTGCCTGAGCCCCATGTCTTGTACCCACAACCAGTTAACTGTGAGATGGAGAGGGACAGCCCTGGCCAGGTTGTGACCCAAGGCTCTCACCTGGCTCTGTGACACCCTAGACATCTCGTCTCCTGTACCCAGGCTCCTGCCCTCAAAAGTCTCCCACTGGTGCACTTCCCACCCTTTCCAGCTAGTTATTTTGTCTAATCAGTGTTAATTGATGATTCAAGGCCAGGTGTGAGATTCTTGGGAGTGGTGGGGCCTTTGGTGACCTGGAACAGGCAGCCTCCTCTTCAAAGCATCCAATTTCAGACAGCGAAAGTGAGCACTGCTACCAGACACACACCTGCAGTCCTGGTTCTGAGTCACACCTGGATCCCTTCCTCCCGACACCTCCACCAGCAGAGCGCTGGATTCTCAAGCCGCAGGCTCCTGGACCAATCCCACTGCCTCTCTGAGGCCCAGCTCCACTTGCTTGCCCTTCCCCAACCCTGCTGGGTCTGTTACCTTGAAAGGCCTCTCATGCCCGTCCCTTGTTCCGAGGGTGAAGAAATTGAGGCCAGATGTGGAAACCGGCATGGACACTCAAACTCCAGTGTCCAAGGACCTCATTAGAATTGCATTTAACAATCTGTAGTTTATACCAAGGAACTTAGAATACCCCTACCTTTCCACAGAAAGTCCGCCTCCCGGGGGCATGATGGCATAGCTGAGTCTCCCACTTAAGGCTTCCTGGAATTCAATTTTGGATTATACATGTCAGTTGAGGGGTTGGGTTAGGAGAAAGTCTTACCCTAATGTAGAAGTCCCCCTGTGAGTTTCCGGCACGGATCTGAAAGGCGTTGTAAGCCCCAGGGTACACGGAGGTCGCTTGGATCTGGAACACATCGGCAGGCACGCTCCGCTCGGAGGTGATGCTCATGTAGCGATGCACGATGGATGAAGGCTGCTCCCGGCACAGGGGGTTGGAGGCCAGACAGAGGCAGCGACTAGAGACCCCGAGATGGGGACACGAGTGAGGTCCTAGCTCATCCCCCAAAATTTGGCCCACCCCCATAATTAGCCCAAAGAGATCTTCCTACTGTTGCCATAATTGCCTGTATGGTTTAGTCAGGAAAGACTACAATTCCCATCAGCCTTTGGGGGTACTTGCCAGCCCGAACAAACACCACTCAGCTGCAGAACCTCCTGAGGGGAGTTGCAGTTTTTGAGGGGATCTGGGTTGAGTGGACTCACTTGTCAGACACCTGGACGTAGGGCTCAACACAGCGGTTGGTGTCAACACAGCGGTAGCCTCCATGGAAGTTGACACAGGTTTGGGCCTCAGGGCACTGGTGCGCCCCCGACTCGCACTCGTCAATGTCTGTGTCGGGAGAGGGGCTGGAACCAGGACGTCAGGCCATCAGCCCCTGACACTACCCTGCCTGCTCCACCCGGGCAACCCGTACCTTGGCAGAGGCGTGTGGCCAGCAGCTGGTAGCCCTGCGGGCAGTGGCAGGAGAAGCGGCCTGGCTCATTGACGCAGCGGTACTGGCAGAGGTAACTGGAGTAGCTGCACTCATCGATATCTATGGGAGAGTGAGGGGAGAATGCTGAGCCAAGGGCAGTCCCTCAACTGAGTCCCACAAATGAGAGAGCTCAGGCCCATGTTAGGTTCAGTGTGGGAAGACAGGCGTGGGGAGATAATGGGAAAAGCCCTGCAAAGCTCAGTAAGGGGACAGAAGGTTCTAAGAAAGGCATGCCCTGACTGTGCTGCTCACAGACCTTTCTCTCTCCCCCAGGACTATACAACGGTGTTAAAGAAAGCACTGGGATTCTAGAAGCCGGGCATTAAATCCTACTGAGTTTGGGGAACCTCAATTTCCCTGTCCATAAAGGGAGTGGGTTAGACTAGGTGAGGCTTGAGGGCCCAGGGAGCTGTGGTGTTTGGTAACCTGCCCAATTCCTGCAATCCACAATCAGCCCAGGCACGCAGTCACCTCCTGCCAGCTCCACAGGCAGGAGCCAGATTTCCTACTCTGGCTCCTGCAGGCAGCCTAACACTGCGCCAGGTACCGATGGGGCCTTAGTTGGCTGCAGGTGATATGGAGTGGGAAGTCTGGGATAGCCCTGGCCCCGTGTCATCCTAGCTGTGACCTTGAGCAGGTCATCCTTTCTCTACTGAAGGACTTCATGCTTACTATTTTTTGTAATTCTAAGACACTTTGAGGAAGATATTGTCCTCATTTTGCAGAAGAAGGAAAAAAAATCATACCTCAGGATGGTTGGCAGGACTAAATGAGGCCAAGCACATAAGGGAAGTACACCACACAGGGCAGGCTCTCCAAACACGGTAGAGTTGCTGCTGGGGACTTGAAGCCTGTCTTGTCATTTTCCCACTTATTCCTCAAGACAGCCATTTTACAGAAGAAACGGCTCAGGGAATAGTGACTTGCCCTAGCCCAAGATTCAAATTCAGGTCAGCCTGACTCCCAAGGAAGGGGGACCCCATATCCTTGCTCCATCTCCCCACTGAACTTCATCTGGGACCTAACTGCTCTGCTCCCCTCTGCCTTCCCCACCAGGTTGGGAGTTCTATGCAGGTTCCCTGCAACTGCCTGGGGGTGGGATACACAGGAGGTACCTGAGGGCAGAAAGGATGGACGTGGAGTCGTCATATGGAGGACTGCGGGGCAGGAGGCTTAGCATGACATGGACTGGGGGGGTCAATGGAAGAACATGCGGCAGGGGTGGAGCTCTCACCACTGCAGGAGAAGCCATCCCGGTGCAGCTCATAACCCTGGTGGCAGCGACACAGGAAGGTCCCATAGGAGTTGAAGCAACGCTGTTCACATGGAGCCCCCATGTCACATTCGTTCACATCTGGGGGTGCCCAGAAAAGTGGGAGGGATGAAAGCTGAGCAGCCCAGAGCCCTCAGGTCACCTGGGCTGGTCAGAAATAGGAGCTCTTCCACCCCATGACCCAGAAGCCTGGCCTGGCCCAGCCTCACCCACACAGGAGCGGTTGTTGGGCCCCAGCTGGAAGCCAGGCTCACACTGGCAGCGGAAGGAGCCAGGCAGGTTCACGCAGCGGTGCTGGCAGTAGCGGTAGCGGCATTCATCTATATCTGGGGTGGAGGCGGGGGAGGGAGGGCAGAAGGCAGAATCAGGTGGGACAGCCTCACCACCCATAGTCTAGTCTGTCTGGGGCCTGGGGCTGGGCCCGGCCAGCCAGGACTCACAGGTACACCACACATCCTGCGTCTGGTGGCAGTGGACTTGGGTGAAGCCTGGGGGTGGGTTGGAATGGGGGTCAGGTGCTAGGGTGAAAGCCAGCAGCACACAGCAGGGGCTACACAGGCTGTTCCCTCGACTCACCCACACATTCGGGCCCAATCTTTCGGTAACCATCAGGGCAGGTGCACTGGTAGGAGCCAGGCAGGTTATGACACTGCTGGCTGGGGCGGCAGTCATGCAGGGCCTGCGCACACTCATCCACGTCTGCAGGAGACATCATTTAGTCCCTGCCTGGGGGCCTGTGTACCACACATCATGACAGACAACTCACTGTGGGAGGACACAGGTCAGGTACCACTCACATGGGCATGTGGGTGACTGGCATGTGGCATCCCCAAAGCAGGAACACGTGGATTAGACCCTCTCAAGTGCATAAATAACAGTCCATCAGCCTGAGCGCCAAAGGGAAAGGCACTTTAACCTGTTAGACCCACCCCAAGGAAGCACAGGAAATTGGGCCCTGCCTATACAGCCAGGTGCACTGATTCCAGGGCTTCAAGGCCCGTGATGTCCAGGGATGGGGTACAGACTAGGAAGAGGGCAGGGAGCAGAGGCTGAGAGGCAGACTTCTTGCAGTGTGTCTGCAGAAACCAAGGTGAGGGTCCCAGAGACTGGTTGGGGCAGTGGGACAGGAGTTGGGGTCATCAGTGGCAAGCCTCACACACAGTGAGGATCTGGGTGAGTGTCTAGATGTCACCCCTGAGGAGGATTTTGAGCAAGGGAGAACCACGAGGTCTGAATTTCTAAGATGCAGTGATAGATGCTTGGCAGGAGGACTGGAAGCTTGATGCCAGGGTGACCCTCACTCACCCACACAGCTTTCTTGCTCATCAGGCTCATAGCCTGGTGGGCAGGGGTTGGTGTGTTCAGCAGGGGGCACTGGTGGTGGTGGACCCTCGCCATGCAAGTCGTTGATGACGGCCGCGGAGCGGGGTAGGCATAAATAGCCCCCATAGTGGTTGATGCATTTCATTTCCCCCTTGCAGGCCTCGGGGATGGTTAGGCACTCGTTGACATCTGCAGAGAGGGGCCTGCTGGGCACAACCAGTCTCCTGGGCTGCCATGAAGGGTGTGGGAGGCAGGAGCCCAGCTTGGCTTGTCTAAGCTACACAACTCTGGAAGTATGGGCAGGGCCTCTCTACTCAGCAAGCTAAGGGTACCTGCCCAGGAACACCCCCCCTCCGCAGGGCCAGCCAGGGCTGATGGTGGGATAGCTGTTTCTACAGTCATCCCCATTCTCTTGGCCCCAAGAGGGTCTCTGTCCTTCCCCAGAGCCCTAGCCCTGGCTCAACTCAAGAGTGATGCACAGACCTCCTTACCTACCCCCACAGACTCTGCCCTCCCCTGACATGATGGGACAAAGCTGGGTAGGAGAGTGGTTAGAGGAGGTGCCCAGGACTCAGCTTCTCTGGGCAGTGCCCTGTTGCTCTCTTGCCTACTGAGGGGTGGGGGCAGGGCATCCTGGGGTTTCTCTGAGAGGGAGTGGCCTGGATGGCTGCTCCGTTCCTAGCTAAGCTGGCCCCCAGAGAACCAGAGCTGGTTTTGGCCAAGCCCAGCTGGGCAGAGGACAGGCCATTGTGCCTGCATCCCAGAGACTGGTTGGGGCAGTGGGACAGGAGTTGGGGTCATCAGTGGCAAGCCTCACACACAGTGAGGATCTGGGTGAGTGTCTAGATGTCACCCCTGAGGAGGATTTTGAGCAAGGGAGAACCACGAGGTCTGAATTTCTAAGATGCAGTGATAGATGCTTGGCAGGAGGACTGGAAGCTTGATGCCAGGGTGACCCTCACTCACCCACACAGCTTTCTTGCTCATCAGGCTCATAGCCTGGTGGGCAGGGGTTGGTGTGTTCAGCAGGGGGCACTGGTGGTGGTGGACCCTCGCCATGCAAGTCGTTGATGACGGCCGCGGAGCGGGGTAGGCATAAATAGCCCCCATAGTGGTTGATGCATTTCATTTCCCCCTTGCAGGCCTCGGGGATGGTTAGGCACTCGTTGACATCTGCAGAGAGGGGCCTGCTGGGCACAACCAGTCTCCTGGGCTGCCATGAAGGGTGTGGGAGGCAGGAGCCCAGCTTGGCTTGTCTAAGCTACACAACTCTGGAAGTATGGGCAGGGCCTCTCTACTCAGCAAGCTAAGGGTACCTGCCCAGGAACACCCCCCCTCCGCAGGGCCAGCCAGGGCTGATGGTGGGATAGCTGTTTCTACAGTCATCCCCATTCTCTTGGCCCCAAGAGGGTCTCTGTCCTTCCCCAGAGCCCTAGCCCTGGCTCAACTCAAGAGTGATGCACAGACCTCCTTACCTACCCCCACAGACTCTGCCCTCCCCTGACATGATGGGACAAAGCTGGGTAGGAGAGTGGTTAGAGGAGGTGCCCAGGACTCAGCTTCTCTGGGCAGTGCCCTGTTGCTCTCTTGCCTACTGAGGGGTGGGGGCAGGGCATCCTGGGGTTTCTCTGAGAGGGAGTGGCCTGGATGGCTGCTCCGTTCCTAGCTAAGCTGGCCCCCAGAGAACCAGAGCTGGTTTTGGCCAAGCCCAGCTGGGCAGAGGACAGGCCATTGTGCCTGCTGCAGCTCTTGGACCTGGGGTTGCAATCTCTCTCCCAGTTTCAGGATGTGGGTCAGACCCCCAAGTACACTCACCCCGGCAGTGCTGGCTGTCGGGGTCCCACTCATAGCCATCTGTACATTCCTACAAGGGGCCAGAGGTGACCAATGGTCACCCCCAGTCCCCTCCAACTGACCAGGCCAAGACCAGGGCCGAGCCTGGTCACCCTCCCGACTGCTCCAACTGGCCCCAGCTGCTCCACCAACCAGGGCAGGGGAGAATCTTCCCCAGCAGCAGCCACCCCAGGATCCTGGTCTCTGTGTCCCTGCCCAGCCCAGCCCAGCAGCCCCACTGTCCCCACCGTGTAGCTGTCGGGCTCCTCCGAATCCTGGGGAGACGCTGCCCCCAAGAGCAACAGCAGCAGCGCCCAGAGCAGTAGAGACCCGGGGAGGCAGGAGGCGAAGGGGAGCATCCTGGGGCTGGGAGGTGGGGGGTGGGGGTCAGGGCGCCTCTGCCAAGGCACTCCCCATTCCCTAGACCAGGACTTAGCCCCGGCCCCAGCCGCCTCCCGCTCAGGACCGTGCTTGAGGCTCCGGAGCCTCCCAGGCCGAGGGCCGACTGCTCACGCAGGCCGGGGTTCAGGGCCCACCGTCCGGGGCCGCCCCGCTCCCGTCCGGCCCCCCAGTGGCGCGGGCAGAGGACGCGGGCCTCTCGGCTCCCCGCTGACGCCGACTCGGCCGGGACTCCTGCTGGCGCCCTCCCCCCACGGACGGCCACTCACTTGGGCCCGCGACGCCCCGGCGGCCCGCGGCTCCGGCGGCTCTGCTGGCTTGGGCAGTGCCTGCGAGCAGAAGGACGGGCGGACAGCGCAGCTCCCCGGACGCACGGCCCCAGGAAGCGCCCCCCGCCCGCCCGCCCGCCGCGGTGCGGCCCACCCCGGCGCCTCCGCCCGCCCCTCGGCGGATTCCTGAGCCTGCGCCAGGGGGAGGGACCCCGACCCCCAACCTCTCCGCCCCCGGTCGGCCACAGGCCCCCACCCGGTCCCCCGCGGCGCCGCCCGGATCCGCCTCCCGGCGCCGGGCCAGGGTCCCCTAGCGCTGGATCCTGAGGACACTGGCCCTGATACCAGAACCCCCAGACTTACCCGGAAGCCCCCAGGCTCTCACTTTGCACACCCCGGAATGTCACCTAGACCCTACCTAATCTGCACCCCCAGAATTCCATCCCGTGCACTGATATCTTAATGCCGAGGCCCGCGCATTCTCTGCTCCTCCCAGAATGTTCTAGGCACCTGGACTCGACCTAATCCTCCGGCTTCCAGATCCTGACTCTGTTTTCCAGAATTTGATTCTGTGCACCCGACAGTCACTCTGGAAGTAGCAAAACTTCATCCAGGGTCCCCAGACCCTCGCCTGAAGACGAGGCACTCCTAAGCCCAGAACTGTCCATCTCTGCCCCTTCTCCCGTCCATCCCCAGAGCTATCTTTAGCCAAATGGTCCCTTCACTTCAGTACTGACACCCCCGGCGCCCACGAGGTTACAACAGTTTGGGGGCGAGGGCGGCAGTTCCCTTTTGGCCCAGAATGAATGGGAGCCCCTGAGAAGGTGGGCAGGGCTGAATTCGGGCGTGCAGGACACCAGGGTCTGGTGCCAGCGTCTTCCCTGCCCTCCTCCCACCCGTATCCCCCCAACTCTGGGATTTCTGCGCCTTCCCCAAGCCGAAGGCGCGCCTTTAGGGGAGAAGTTTGGGCGGAGCTGGCTCCCAGGAAGGGGCGGGGGCTCGCCCTGCCCACGTCTCAGGGCGGGTCCAGACGGGAAAGGGCCGCGTGTCCAGGGATTTCCTGGCGCGGGGCAGACGGTGTGCGGGAACTACGGAGCCCTCCCTTCCCTTTCCCACTGGTTTATCCTTATGATCAACCCAACGCAGCCCTGGCGGGGAGGGGATGTGTCGAGAGGGGAATGTGCCAGTGGGGTCATGAGATGAGCCCTCAGGGTTTAGGGTGAACTGGAAAGCGCCTCCACTACCCCCAAATCTTTCCTAACCACAGAGACGAAGAGGCTAAAAACAATAGACCTTTAAAACAAAAAAGACAATAACAAGTGCTGGGAAGGACATGGAGAAATTGGAACCCTTATACACTATAGATGGCAATGTAAGATGGTGCAGCTGCTTTTTTGGAGAACAGTCTGTCAGACCCTCAAATTGTACCGCAAGACCTAGCCATTTCACGCCTAGGTATATACCCAGGGGAATTGAAAACATGTCCACACAAAAAACGTGTATACAGTGTTCACAGCAACACTGTTCCTAAGAACCAAATGCAGGACCAATCTAATGCCCATCAATTGATGAATGAATAAACAAAATGTGGTAATATGATGAAATATTATCCAGCCATTATAAGGAATGAAGTACCGAGAGGTGCTACAACATAGATGTATCTTGAAAATAATACACGAGGTGGTAGAAGCCAGACACAGAAGGCCACATACTCCATTTACATGACACGTTCAGAAGAGGCAAATCTGAGAGAGAAATTAGGTAGAGTTTTCCAGGAAAAGGGGGAGTGGGGAGTGACTGCTAATGGGTATGGGGGTTCTCTTGGGGCGATGAAAATGTTCTGGTGGCCATGGTTACACAATTATGCAAATACACTAAAAATCACTAAACTGTACACTCTAAAACGGTATGTGAATTACATCTCAATAAAGCTGTTATTTTTAAAAGTAATAAAAATGATAGCTCTTGATTATCAAGATCTAACCATCCCAAGCAGAAGCATGCACCTCACACAACCCTCCTGCCCTAGCCAGGGAAGCGGGGACCATTGTCACCTCGTTTCACAGTTGAGAGAGGCTGAGATTTGTCCAGGTAGAACCAGAATGGTAAGCACAAGATTTGAACCCAAGTTCCTCTGGTTCTGTGACTGTCTGGACTCTCTGCCCCACAGTAGAGCATTAAGGACCCAACAATTGACACCTAACTCTGTGCCAACCAGGATTTTAGGTGCTCCACAAAATCATATCACTCAAAGGAACTGTCACTGCCACTTAGAAGGATCTGAGACCCAGAGCGGAATGACTGGGTGCACAGTTGGTGGCTCAAACTTGGACCTGAAACACCATCTTTGCACTATTAGGCCCCTCAGAGTCGCTCCCTCAGAACACCTCTCCTGAACTCTGGGACAGACCTGATGACTTTCCCTGCCCTCTCCCTTCTGCGCTGGGTCACAGGCCTTACTTATCTTGGTTGGTGCTTCTCCCATACCAAGCCAAGAGCTCCTTCCTCCCAGATGGTGAACCCCTGGGCCTCTGGGCCCATGGCCCAGTCCTCAGTGGGTGCCAGCCAGGAGCTGCAGGATGAGTGAGTGAACAAGTGAGCGAGTGAGTGGGCAAGTTAATTTATTCTCCCACAAATGTTTACTGAGTGGCCACTGCAGACTCACTCGGTACCAGGCACCAGGGACACAGCAAAGAAAACCCAAATCTCCTGGCCTCGTGGAGCTCACATTCAAGGGAGAGAAGGAGATGATCAAACGGTAAGACCACCCAGCCCCAGGTCCCCAGCTTCTTCCCCCATTTCCATAACCCCCCACTACCACACTGAAAGACCAGTTTTTATGACACTCCCTTTGGTGCCCGCTGAGTCTTTTTGTCTGCCCCAGTCCTAGAGGAATCCTTCGCCTCCATAACCATTTTCCTGTGACTACAAACAGTGGGAAGACCACGAGTCATGAATTCATTCACAAAGACCCAATGACCCATTTTGACCTTAAGCGGGGGACTCTCCACCCCCATGAGCTGCCAGCCCTTCCTTGGCCTTTACCCGCTTTGGCCTTGCTCTTGAGATGTTGAGCCTGCTAACTTTCTGCCCCCTCAGGCACATCCACACCCATCATCCCCATCCCAATTGTGACAGGAACAAGGTAATAGCTGCCACATGCTGTTCCTGTTTAAAATCCACAACGACCAATTGTTTGGTTAACTCCCACTGAGCCTGCTCTGTGCCCAGCCCTGTCCTGGGTGCTGAGGACACAGGCACAGTGGACATCTGCCGTGAGTGGCAGATGCCAAGCGTGCACAAGCTTGGCCAGGCCTCAAGGGGCTTCAGGTTACACCAGATGATGGGGAGCAGGGAATGCTTCTTGGAGGTGACCCTTGGGCGGACTGAACTTTGTGGGATGAGCAAGAGTATGTGCCCAAGGGACACCGGCCACCCACCCACCATTCCTGCCCAGTCATCAGGGGCCTACGGCTCCCATAAGCCCCCAATTTCCCATCATGGCACCAATGGCCATATATTGTCAACTGCCCCTTTAGTATCTGTCTCTTCCTGTCTCCTTAAGGGCAGATCCATCTCTGTATCCCTAGAATTGCCCAGAACAAGGTGGTCTGAGAGTCTCTGTTGAATAAAGAAAAAGGTGCTGGGGTAGGGACAGGCAAGCAGAGGGCTGTGTGGAGACAAAAGCCTGAAGGTCTGAGGCAGCTCTCGTGCTCTAGGGGTCTGAGCCTCCCCTTCCCGGCCTGGTTTCCACTTTGTGGTTTCTCTAGCCCCGCCCTCTCAGCCCCTCCAACTTGGTCTGCACAGCTTCCTGCCCCCAGCACTCTGGTCTGCTGCACCATGGCACTAACTATCTACTTTTCGTGCCTCCTGGTCCTGTTGGTGGCGGGCCTGGTTCAAGGCATCAAGGGCTCCCTCAGGGGCCAGGTAAGTGCCCCCAACCCACTCCCCATATCCTTTCTTCTGTAAAGGTATGAACCCTGGGGCTCACCCCTTAACAACTGCCTTGGTCCCATTTCCCAGAGGGAACAACTGAGGCCAGATAGGTGAGTGACATGCCCAAGCTCACAGGGATACAGGGGAGACTAACCTGCTGTTCTCCTAGTCCAGTCCTTGTATATTTGGGAGCCGAGGTGTGGTCCCAGAGCTGGTCCTAACCTGCTCCCCACACCCTTGGTTCCTTGCAAGGACCCAGGTCCCCAGCCACTGGAACTGAAAGAGGTCTTCAGGTTGTTCCAGATCCAGTACAACCGGAGTTACTCGAACCCAGCAGGTATCATGGGACACACACATCCCCAGTCCAAACCCCCTTCTCCCATTTAATAGATGAGGAAATTGAGGCTAAGGGTGGGGCATGGGTTTGGTCAAAGCCATCCAGCAGGATGGTGGCAGATCCCGGGTCTCTGCTCCCTGGTTTGCTGGATGCACAAATGGGGACAGGATCATTCTTTGCTAAGAAACATTCAGTCCTAGAGGAATCCTTTACCTCCATAACCATTTTCCTGTGACTACAAACAGTGGGCAGACCACGAGTCATGAATTAATTCACAAAGACCCAATGACCCATTTTGACCTTAAGCTGGGGACTCTCCACCCCCATGAGCTGCCAGCCCTGCTCCTGCCCTCTTTCTGGGTCTCATCTTCCACAGGGGGATGTCTGTGGGTACCTTCCAGTCCAGGCTGGCAACACCCTGTACCCCATCCTCCCCCACCCCCACCATGCTCTAGCCCCAGGTCTGAAGTCAGAGGTGTGAAGTGAAGGTGGAGGAGGTGACCCAGCAGGAAGCTGGTCTGACCACCCCCACCTTTCCCCTCTGAGTCACTTTACCTTCACATCCTTTACTTGGCTTCTTGTGGGTGAGCAGAGATGGCCCCCCTTGCTGCCTTTCAGGGAAAACCCAACCCCAGGTGGGCTGGGGAGCCACTTCCTCAGCCCTGGTGTCTGCAGCAGAGTCTGCAGGGGCTACAGGAAAGGCATCAGTGCTCATCTGAGTGTGGGTAGGACACCCAGCCAGTGGCCACTTCCTGTCCCTGGGGACTTGGAGCCAGCCTAGGACAACCAACCCCCTTTTGGTCCAGAGCATGCTCGCCACCTCGACATCTTTGCCCACAACCTGGCCCAGGCGCAGTGGCTACAGAAGGAGGACTTGGGCACAGCCGAGTTTGGGGTAACTCCATTCAGTGACCTCACAGGTACTGAACACTTCCTGGCCCACAGGTGGTGAGTAGGGAGGCACATGGACATAGTATACCTCCAGCTTTTGTTTCCCAGAGAGGGAGCCTGAGGACCAGTGCCCTGGGTGCTTCCCCAAATAGAGCATGGACAGGCCTGTGTCCCAGCCCAGCTCGGTGGTAAGGCAGCAGGTGCAGGGGGCATGCACCCCAACAAGGAACCTGGCCTCTCTCTAGCCTCAGTATCCTTGCCTTTCTGACTTGTAGGGTACGATAGGGACTCTGAAGACCAAGAATGTGGATGGCTGGAGTGGGAAAAGTAGACTATGGGGGAAAAGGGATCAAAACTGTGACCTTGCTGGCTCTGTCTCCCAGATGAGGAGTTTGGTCAGCTCTACAGACATCAGAGCACAGTTGGAGGGCTCCCTAAAATGAGCAGACAGGTAGGATCTGAAGAGTGGGGGGAGCCCCTGCCCCCCACCTGTGACTGGAGGAAGGCAGCCGGTATCATCTCTTCCGTCAAGAACCAGGTACCTGCCCCCACCAAGCCTGGCCCAGTCCAGCCCGTGATGGGGGAGGGGAGATGGGGCAAGGCCCAACCCCCTTACTCTGACCCTCCCCCACCATTTCTCCCCTAGGAAAACTGCAACTGCTGCTGGGCCATGGCAGCAGCTGGCAACATTGAGGCCCTATGGGGCATCAAACACCGTCAGTCCGTGGAAGTCTCTGTGCAGGGTATGGCTGGGTGAAGGTTTATGAGTGAGGAGCCTGGGGAGGGATGGGGGCCTGGGGCCTGGCACCCACATTGTCCCTTCTTGCACCAGAACTGCTCGACTGTGGCCGCTGTGGGAATGGCTGCAGGGGTGGCTTCGTCTGGGATGCATTTATAACCGTCCTCAACAACAGTGAGTGTCCTGCCACTCTGGGCAGCTACGGAGCAGAGCAGAGGGACGTTCAGAGCTGAGTCTCCGCCCTGGCCTTGCTTTTCTGATCCCCAGGTGGCCTGGCCAGCGAGAAGGACTACCCATTCCAGGGGAATGTCAGAGCCCACAGGTGCCTGGCCAGAAAGCACAAGAAGGTGGCCTGGATCCAGGATTTCATCATGTTGCCGGACAACGAGCAGAGTGCGAGCAGCGCAGCGTGGGGGGGGCCGTGGGCAGGCAGAGCTGCAGGGGCAGCGGGGGGTGGGGAGGCGGGGCTGGAGGAGGGGGTGGGAAAGAGGGACAGAGTGACACCTGTGAGCTGAGAGCAGGGGGCAAGGCAGGCAGGGTCTGAGGGCACCTTTCACCCCCAGAAATCGCCTGGTACCTGGCTACTCAGGGCCCCATCACCGTGACTATCAACATGAAGCTCCTTCAGGTGAGACAAGGGAGGGAATGGTGGGAGGGGCACACAGGGGATGTGGCCCCAGACCCAGCACCTCTGCCCTCATCCCTGCAGCAATACCAGAAGGGTGTGATCAAGGCCACGCCTACCACCTGTGACCCCCGGCTTGTGGATCATTCTGTCTTGCTGGTGGGTTTTGGGACAAGCAAGTCGGTGGAGAGGAAGCCCGCAGAGGCAGTCTCATCCCAGGCTCATCCTCAACACTCGACCCCTTACTGGATCCTGAAGAACTCATGGGGAGCCAGCTGGGGCGAGAAGGTGAGCGTGCTCTATGGCAGGAACACGGCAGGACGGGCCTCTCCCCCCTCCTGGCCCTGATGTCCTTTAACTTCCTAGGGCTATTTCCGGCTGCACCGAGGGAGTAATACCTGTGGCATTACCAAGTACCCACTCACTGCCCGAGTGGACCAACCAGTTAAGAAGCAGCGAGTTTCCTGCCCTCGCTGAGCCTACCTGGACACCCCTCCACTCTCTCCTGCTATTCCCGCTGCCTCCTTACCAGCCCCACCCCAAGCCTTTTGCCTGCCCTCCCAGTCTTCTTGCTACAGCTTAAATAAACCAAGACAAGCCCCCTGCCTTCCAAGTTAATCAGCTAGGGTGGGGAAATGGCTGGGGACAGCACAGACACCACTCCTTGACATGTTCTATTCCCCGCGGGGCCAACATACATCTACTTACATCCTTAGACACAGACACTTAGAGATATCCATGTGCACACCTGTGTACACCCCCTTCACACACAGACCCCGATGTGTACCATGCACAGGCTCCTCCAAAGTCATGGCAACTTTATTGTCAGTGCAGGCAGCAGTGGAAGGCAGCCTCACTCATGATACAGGCGCAGGAGGCAGCCATGGAGGGTGCCCATGTAGCGGTCCCAGAGGGCCTGGTGCCTGAAATGGGAACAGTGACAGTAATGCTGACCTTTACCACATCCCCACTGCATCTGAAACGCTGCTCTAAGTGTTCCGTTTGCCTTCACCCCTTTAGTCCTCGCAGTATTCTTATGATCCTTAGCATTGTTATCCCTGGTTTACATATGGGGAAACTGAGGCATGAAGGTTAAGGAACTTGCACAAGGTCAGGCCACAGCTTCTAATCGGTGGAGCCAGAACTCTGGTCCACAGAGACTTTAACCCCCAGGGTGGCGGGATAGGGAACCCAGAGTGTACGGGAGGGCAAAGCCCTGGCAGGAGGCTGGCTGGGACAAGGCCGGGCCGGGCAGGAGGCCTGGAGTCTCTCACCGGAAGCCATCCAGGGAATGGACCGATGCCGAATACTGATTCAGGAAGAGCCGCACATCATTCAATGGCCAGTGGTCGGAACGGCAGGGTTCCACGAACTGCGGGCCCAAGGGAATAGCCAGCACTGGCACAGCCCAGGGACAGGCCAGGCTGGGGATTAAAGTGGGGGTGGACAGGACAACTTACCTTCTCCACCAGGTCCACAAACAGGTCTCTGACGTCTTTATTGTGGATCAGCTTGGCGGCCACATTCACCAGCCCCCGGGACAGGTTCTGTGGGGCAGGGAGCCTGGGAGTTCTGCTTTCTGCCCCAAGGTGGGGGGCTGAGCCCAGAGGCTGCAGGACAGGCAGGCCCCTCCCCAAATCCATCCACCTCCCTCAATCAAGTAATTCCCCAAGGTTTAGGAGAAGCTCCCCCCTCACAGGCAGGGCAGAAGGAGCCGCAGCACCACCTGCCAGTCAATCTCAGGCAGGAGCAGAGTTGCCCAGTGGGACAGTGCACTGGAGGCTGAAGACGCCCAGGGGACAGAGGCTGGACTGGGTCACAGACCTTGAAGTTGGCTTCCATCTCAGAAAAGACACCAAGCTTTCCCCGGAGGGCAGTACACACCAGGCTGCAGGGAGACAGAGTCAAGCCTAGAGCCGCATAGGCCCCCCACTTCAGGCCCCACCCCATAGACCCTGGGTCACCTCTTGTGCAGGTCCAGAAGGTCCTTATCAGCCACAAGAACCTTGAGCTCCTTTAAGTCCTGGAGAAACTCCTTGTCTAAGTCCATGTCCATGTCATCCACCTGGGAGTCTGAGTGAGGTCCATGAAGGGAATTGGGGTGGGGGATAGAAACTCCTCCTGTGATATCAGGAGCCTTCCTCACCCACCACCCCCTTGCACCCCATGAAACAGAAGAGGAAGCGAGGTATCAGAGAGGTGGAGTGACTTGCTCCAGGACACAGACAAGTAATGGGCCCTTTGTCTGCAGACAAGGTGTGTGTGGGAACATTGGATTTTTAAAATTATAAGCAGAGGTGGCTAGGGTAGGGGCACTGAAGGATTCTGGGAACTGGGGACCTGTAGGAAGAACTGCTGCTGGAAAAGCAGGCCCTGAGTTGGGGGGGTGTCCGGGCACCTGGGTCAGTGGGGGCCTCACCGACGGCTCCAAGGGTCCAGTTCTGGATCATGAGCTCAGCACAAAAGGCAAAGTCACCAAAGCTCAGATACTGCAGTTTTTTCTTCCCCGTCTCAAAGCGGTTGTTTGCAAAGAAGACGATGGCTGCATAATCCCTGCAGGAAGGGAGAGTGGGCCTGTGAGGGCTTGAAATTCCTTCTTAGCCAACAGCTCCCACATGTGACATCAGTGGGCATCTACGTCCTGGCTTCTCTGCCCTAACATACCATATGCCAGCTTTCAAGTCCCTCCTCTCTGCGGCTCCTCACCTGTGCAGTGAGGTTTCAGAAGAGCTCTCCTCAGGGCTTTAGTGAGAGGCTGCAAGGGTAACACTTAACATGTACTGACCACTTCCTAAGCCCCAGGGGCTGTGCCATATGTGTGGCACCTCACAACAGCCCAGCTGCTAAATGGCTGGGTCAGGATTTGAACCCAAGCCAGTCTGATACAGAGTACAGACCAGGAATGGGGTAATTATCCCCCCCAGCACAGCCAGGAGTTCAAGTGGGTTCAAATGTCTCAGGGCCCAGGAAAGGAGTTTGCAGGACAGGAAACAGCTGGCTCCTTGCCTGACCCCTCACCTGGCCAACCGGTCAGAGAGGAGGAAGTGTTGCTGGATGTTATCGACCAGGGAGCCCCGCATTTCCTCCACGACCTTGAAGACTCGCTTGAAGTTGTCAAACTGCAGGGCCATAACAGGAGGAAGGAGGACTGGTCAGAGATTGATCACCCAACAAACTGTTCATGGAACACCCATGCCTTGCCGACCCACCTATCCAGGCAACAGATGCTGATTTAGCACTGGATGTTCCTTCAACAACCTATTCATTGTGAGTACCTGTTAATCAATTAGGTAAATATCTCCCAGCTCCTGCCATCTCGCCTTGGATACATGTTTACTCACTCCTAGCTTAGAATTCGCCCCTTCTAGCATCATGCTGTCCAGGTCCTCATGAATTTGTGCTGGAACTGACCCACCTGGCTAAGGTCCAGGAAATCAAAAATGTGCAAATGCTAAGCTGTACACAAGGGGCTCAAAGGAGACACAGAGAAAAGACACTAAAGATCCAGAAGAAGGGTTACTTCTCCCTGGCACCACCAGAAAGGTTTGTGGATAAAATGGCATCTGACCCCTTACCTTGGATTTCACAGGGTAGATATGGCCAAGAAGAGTACCCTCCTGGTAGGAGAAGCATGAAGCAAAAGAAAGCCAGGGACCAGGGAAATGTAAGTCTAGAGAGGTGGCAGGGGCCAGATCACAGGAGAGTACGAAGGTCAAGGCCAAGGAGTGTGCTACTATCCAGAAGGGAGTGGGAGCCAATGAAAGTTCAAGAGCAGGGGAAAGCTATGATTAGACTGGGGCTTCTGAAAGAGTAGGGGATGGCTTGCAGAGGCAAAAAGAGGGGAGAGGAGACTAGGTATGAAGCTGCTGCCAAAATCAGGAGTTGGGTTGGAGGCTGGGGCAGTGGCCAAAGGGATGGACTGAAGGGTCCCACCTTCGATGGGATGCTGTTCAAGAGGCGTGGAAGGGGGCAGTGCCCACCTGTCTGCGGCAGCTCTTGAGGGTTATGCCTGTTTTAGTGCTGATGTCGTCCAGGTCTTTCTTGGTGCCCTTGGACAGCTTCTTGCCCAGGACCTCCCGCACAAAGGCCTCGTCAAAGGCATAGTATCTGTGCAGAGGTAGGGAACACCGCTGACTTCCCATAAAGGAGGGGAAGGCGGCCCTGAAGGGCCTGGGTCGGCCCTTTCCGCTCTCAATTTTCTCACATCCCGTGTTTAAGTCCTGTCCCTCCCTGGGCCTCAGTTTCAGCCTGCAAAATGGGTATGTGTTCAGATATCTGGTTGGCGTTTTCACCTCTCGATGAGCAGTGCCTGCCGGGAGGGCGGGATCTGGAAGATGAGCTGGTGCAGCAGCTTCGGCGGTGCGTGCAGCAGGCGCTCGAGCATGTGGAAAGTACGGTAGTGGTCCATGGTGTCGCTCTGCAGCACCGCTGCCGTGGCGCCCGTCTGTTCCAGGATTCCCGAACGCACCCTCAGAGCTACTGCGTCGCTCACTGGGGAACGGGCTCTAGCATAAGGCCCCGCCCCGCCGACCCCGAAGGCCCTCCGGGGTTCCCAGCCGCCAGCCCTATACATCTCTTACCTCCTGTGCCCGCTTCCCTATAGGATACCCCTTCCCCCTTGCTAGACTACCGCTCCGCGCGACCGGCTTCCCCAGACTGCCCCCCACAGACCCGAGTAACCATCCAGCCAGAGGCGGTACACGTCCTCGTCGATGAGGGTCGTGTTCCCCACAAAGATGTCCAACTCGCTAGTCATGGCTACGCCCGGACCCGGGCGCGGAGGCAGCGCTCCGGTAGGAGCAAGAACTGCCCGGGCCGGGCGCGCCGCCGCGGGGCAACTTCCGGGAGCTCCGAGATTCGGCTCCCGACTACCGGAGCCAGAGAAGGACCACTTCCGGGACAGAGGGCTGGGAGGTAGGAGCGGCGGGGAGGGCGGTAGCCCCTCCTTCCGCCGTGGGGCTGGGAAGGTGATCCCAAACTCCTACGTCATCTTTCCCACCACGCCTCCACCGCTGGCTCCATTGGCCGGAGCGCGTCGGGAGTGGAGGCCTCCGTCTAGTCGACCCTGCCTCAGCAACCAGCCCCCTCACTTCCTCCTGGTTTTTCTCCCACTTTCTCTGCCCTTTTCGCCCCCGCCCCCACTTTGACCTGCTTCCTAAATTTAGGGGTTTCATGGGGCTCCATCCTAAATCTTATTTCTGCAAGAAAGGTGTCAGGCCCAACTTCTAAGGGCCTTGACCGGGAGCCCTTCAGTCCAGCCTGAGGACGAGCATCACTCTTGGGCATGGGGCACCTGTCCCCAGTGTTTTTAACCTCCCTCCGCCACTCCTGCCACTCATGACCTCACTGATTCTGCATCTTAGAGCTCTGCCTGAAGTCCACATCCAGAGGGCCACTTCTCTGCGAGTCTTAACACGCTGTCTCCCACACACCCCTCTAAAGCTAGACAGACCTCTCTTTCTCCTCTGCGTTCCTATCTCACTGACACCAACATCCACCCAATTCTCATACCAGAAGCCCTGGCTTTCTCCCAGATTCCTCTTTCTCACATTCGCCTCCTGAATATTTCTAGTATCTGTTTTGTCCTCTGCCGCCCTGGCGCTGTCCCTGACCAGTCTTGCATTGCTGTCCTTGCCCACTGACACAGTGTTCTTACTAATTTCCCCGCCTACATTCCCTCCCCATGGTCCATCCTACACAGAGCAGCCTAATCAAATGCATATTTTTAAATGTTACTCACCTGCTTACAATTGTTAATGGCCAGCTCAGTACTGAAAGCTTTTAAGAATATGGCTTCCAACTACCTTTGTTGCCTCTCTCCATCACCACTCTTCCCCACACCTGCCTTTCAAAAACATCAAGCTACTCTCACTGCGCCTAAAGCAGCTAGGGCCTTTCAGGCCCCAGTGTCTTTCACCGTGCTCTTCCCTCGCCCTGAAATAGCTCTCTTTACTTGGAAAACCTTATGCATCTTTCAGAGCCCGTTGGAACTCCTCTTTTGGGATCCATTTTTGGGGAGTGTCTATAACCCGTGCTCCCTCCCCTCCTAGCATTTGCTTGTTTAATACAGCCTGTATCCCCTGCCAAATTACGACCCCCTTGAGGACAGGATTAGGATCTTGGTCAAGTTTATTTCTGCATGGCCTTGCACACAATAAAGGTTTATTGAACAAATGAACCATGGTATGCCCCTTCCCCTGGGCAGGAAACGCTCCGTGAGAGAGAGGGTAGGCTGATGGTAAGACAGGACATTTGGACTCAGGATTCTGAGCTGGGAGCGATGCTCAGTGAGCCGAGACTTGAGTTCGAGATAAATTGGGAAGGATGAAAAGGAGATCTGTCATTCCGTCGAGGGATGGGCAGGAGAGTGAGCGGCCGACGCCTGAGTCTTGCTTCTCAGGAGCTGTGAGACCTAGGCTTGAGCTTGAAGAGCTTTGGAGCTGGGAGATGCGAAGTGCCTACTTTGGGATTGCCTGGCGCGTAGGGCCGTGAAAGCTGGGACCCAGTGTCGGTGAGGGTCTGTGACTCGGCTTTCCCGAGTGGGCGGAGACAGAGCTCTCTCTGTGCTCATGCCCCACCCCTTTCCGGATAGACCTTCCTGGATTGGCTGTCCTTTCAACGTCATGCGGGCCCGCCCCGGAGCGCGCCCGGCCCCGGGCAGCTTCAGCAGCCTACGCTACTCAGCTATATCCTGCAGCGAGTGAGCTGAGCGGAGCCCGAGCCCGATCCAGATCGTCGTCGAGGTCGACGTGGGGCTCCTGGGTCGCGGCGGCGGGCAGGCGATGCTCCAGAGGCCTGAGCAACCATGGAGGCCGAGACGGGTGGCCTGGAGGAGCTGACCGATGAGGAGATGGCGGCGCTGGGCAAGGAGGAGTTGGTGCGGCGCCTGCGGCGGGAAGAGGCGGCGCGCTTGGCGGCTCTGGTGCAGCGCGGTCGCCTTATGCAGGAGGTGAATCGACAGCTGCAGAGTCACCTAGGCGAGATCCGCGAGCTCAAGCAGCTCAACCGGCGCCTACAGGCTGAAAACCGTGAGCTGCGCGACCTCTGCTGCTTCCTGGACTCAGAGCGTCAGCGCGGGCGGCGCGCAGCTCGCCAGTGGCAGCTCTTCGGGACACAAGCATCCCGAGCCGTGCGCGAAGACCTGGGCGGTTGTTGGCAGAAGCTGGCCGAGCTGGAGGGCCGCCAGGAGGAGCTGCTGCGGGAGAATCTGGCGCTAAAGGAGCTCTGCCTGGCTCTGGGCGAGGAGTGGGGCCCCCGAGGCGGTCCTGGAGGCGCGGGGGGCTCAGGCGCTGGGCCGACACCCGAGCTCACCTTACCCCCCTGCGGGCCCCGCGACCTGGGAGATGGAAGCTCCAGCACGGGCAGCGTGGGCAGCCCTGATCAATTGCCCCTGGCTTGCTCGCCAGATGATTGAAGGTGCAGCTTCCTTCGCGCCGACGCCCGGCCTAATTGCTCCCCAAGCTCCGGATTGCGGTCGACCTCGGGACCTGGATGCCGCCCTGGCCTGCATGAGTGGCCGCTGGCATGGATTTAGAAACCCCGGCACTGAGAAGGGGCCCTCACCCTCGCTGGCGGGGCAATGGGGGTACTGGAGGCTGGAGCGGAGGGACTTGCTGGGGGTTGGGTGGGGGATAATAAACTGCGATGGAAGCAGAGCCCGTGGCCTGGGCAGCGTCTGTTGGGGACTCGCCGGGGTTGCGACGAGGGTGGGGACGTTGAGAACAGGGTACCATTCCCAACTAGAGGAACTGAAGAACTAAGGTGACTGACACCCCTCCCCCACCATTGCCTTATTCCTGTGGCGGGATGTGCGACCGTAAGCCACTGTTTTCCCCCGTCAGGCCCGGGGATCGGCCGTAATTCGGCCCCTGAAGTGGCTCCAGCTCCCTTCCCAGCTCCTTCCTGTCCTAGACAATGGGGCAGGAAGCAGGTGTTGGGGGCGCAGAACCCACTGAGCCGCCTCCCCTGAGGCTGGACGGGGCATAACAGCGCCCTCCTGTGGAACACGGCGGAGCACTTGGCCCCAGCAGGAAGAGGATGATCCTCTTGGCTCGCACCCAGCAGCTCTCTATTATTCCTTCTCTCAGTCCTGGAGATGGGGCAGAGCAGATGTAGCCGCATTTATCAGATAAGACAATGAGGTCCAGTAATACCAAATAATTGTTTTCAAGGTCATGCAGTGCGTCCATGGAGCTGAGACGAGCCTAGGGCTTCCTACTCCAAATGTTCTCTCTTTAGCTTCTGGGTCCAGTGAGACCAAGCCAGAGCTTCAAGCCTTTTATTCCATTTTGTCAGGTTTGTATAAAAATATTCTCTTTAGGAAAATAAATAGCAGCTGTCTTCACTGTGGAGGCTTGGATTCCCTGGAGCTAAAGTCTTCTCAGAGCTGGGGGCTGCAGGTCAGCTAGCTCATCACAGAAGCCTCTGACACCTTCCTGAGCTGTGCCATTCAGGAGGGGCCAGCAGAATGCCCTGTTTTAATCATGTGATGCTGCTGGCAGTGGGGCTGGGTAAATTAGTGTTCTAGGCTAGCAGAGTTATCACCTTCTGTCAGGGAGTAGGGTTGGGTGGCTTACAGGAAGAGGGTGATGAAGACTGTAGGTGATCTAAAGGGGGTTAGGGCTCCAGAGGCCCTCTAGAGAGTTACAAAGTCCCTTTGGCTGCCAGTTCTCTTGCACAAACAGGAAAATATTTTGTCTCTGATTTAGTGCAAATTGTGCTAGAGAGATCAGCTCTAAAGAAACAGTGGGCAGCTCTGGTGACCCCAAACAGGCTCTAGAAAGAAGCAAAATATGCTCAGTCTCATGTGGAAAGGTGAAGAACCTGCTGGGGCTGGGCATGGGATATGGTCCAGGCCAGCTGGATCAATGGGTGGGGAGACGATGGATAGGGTGGCACCTGCAGGGAGGGGACTTTGGGGTGCCTCATAAGGCGAGAAGGGTGGGGGAGCCGAGGGGGTCAGAGGATGGGTCCCCGCTGCTGCTGCTACTCCTGCGATGGGCTGAGGCACAGGGTTCAGGGGTGCTGGGATAGGTGAAGATGGGACTGGGGGTGAAAGGAGTCAGGGAGGGCGTGGTCATGAGCGTGGGGGTGTGCAATGCTTCGGGTTCAAGCACAGGCCCCGGGGAAAGGGAGATACAAGGCACAGGGCGGGAGGGGGCTGGTGGGCTGCTGGTGCCGCTGGTACTGCTTGCGTTGCTCTCCTTGGGCCCTTCCGGGATTTTGCAGATGGGACGGTGGGCTTCGAGCACCAGCTCTAGGCGTTCTTTTTGCTTCTGCAGCTCCTCAATCTCTCGCTGCAGTCCGGATTTCTCGTCCTCTAGTTTGTCCGTCTCCTGTAGAGGGTTAGGAGAGGTGTTAAGGAGAGAACCGAATAGCGCAGAGGCTCCGGCGGTGGTGGTAATTTGGGGCCCAGGGATGGGGAGTGGTGTCTCCAGCACGTCTGGACTACAACTCCCATGAGCCCTTGGGAGAAAATGGGTACCACTCCGGTCAGGTACGGGGCTTCTTGGAGATCGTCCGCAGAAGCTCCAAACTCTGCTCTGCGGTTCCGCGAGTGGGACGAACTGCAACTAATTTTTTAAATCGCGTTTTCCTCCTTTTCTCCGAAGGATTGCCCTCCGACAGGGAGCTTGGGGGAGGAGACTTCCAATGCCGGACCGCTGGGGTCCCGCCGGCTGGTGGCAGCCGGGCCCTGTACACCCTCCGGCCGGTGCTCACCGCCTGTAGGAAGTCAGTCAGTTCCTTCCTCCGGTTCCTGCATTTGGCCGCGGCCAGCTTGTTCCGCTCGCGCCTTACTCGCCGGCGCTCCTCCTCCTCCGGGCTGATCTGGAGGGTAGAGGGAGCGGTGAGGTGGACCCTGGGCCACTGGCTGCCCCGCACTCGCCTCCTGCGTGGCGCAGTGGTAGGACCCTGGCGCAGGGCAAGGCAGCGCGGCGGCGCCCCCAGCATGCGTTTTAGGGACCATCTCACCCCGACCGTTCCCTGCACTCACGCTTTAGGAACGATAAATCAAGTATCTTCCTCGCACTTAGCTTTTGCCTTCTTTGATTCCTCTCTTGGAATGCCCCACCTCCACTCCAAAAAGCTTAACCCTGCTCTTCTCCCAGGACTTAATTGAAATGTCCCCGCCTCCAGGAAGCCTTCTCTCCTTCCGCAGACAGAAGTGGCCTTTCCTCCTCTGAAACACTGGAACCAGACCTCTCTTTTTCGAAGGACCCTCATTCTCTTCAATCTCTTGATAAATAAGTGTCCTCTTCCCCAGAGGCGGTAAGCACTAAGAGGGGCTGAATAAGTTGTTATTTATTGGGAACCTTATTATTACTAGTTAAGAGCTTTACACAGATTCTTTTCCCAGCTTTCTGTGTAAGGAACTGAAGCCCAGAAGGATGAAAAACTCCTTTATGATCCCAAAGCAGAAATTAAAATCCACTCACTCTTACTCAACATTGAGAGGCCAGCTGCTAGAAATCACCTTCCCCAAAAGGATCCCACTCAGCTCAGAGCCAATCTAGGAATACTAGGAACAAAGGGCCACCCTCAGGACAGGGTTGAAGGAAGTAAGTCCAGAAGCCTGCCTCTGGGTCTCTTATAAAGGTCCCCTTCTCCAGGTGATCACAAAGGCCAACCATTCTGTTTCTGGGAATGCTGCCCCTGGCCCATGGAACATCTTTCCCAAGATCTGGCTCTCTTTTCCCATCCTCCACTCAGTTTGGCCGTTAGAGCAAGCTCTTTAATGTGCAAACCTCCTCCCAGTACAGCCTTACATACCAAAATGCCCCAGGACAGGCAAAGAGAGTCACTCCCTGAAAGACCCTTTATCTCTTACTTATTTATTTTGGTGAGGACTTCATTAGCAGTGTGAGGGTGGAAACCCTGGTTGGGGTGGCAAGAATTCCAGCCCACTCTGCTTGAAGCCTTCTGTTAGCTCCCAGAGAGACAGTGTGTCTTGATCTGACTTTAGAATTAGACAGACCCGTCTCATTACTCACTACCTGTGTGACTGGGACAAGTGACTTTACCTCTCTGGGCTTTAATTTCTTTGGCTGTAAAATGGGGGAAACCAGAGTACATTCTCCAGAGGTTTTTTGTAAGTGTTACATGAGATTGGGAAACTGAGACCTAGAGAATAGGTGAGGGGAACCCTCTCCTCTCTGTACTCTCCTCAACTGCATAGACAGCATAAGTGCACCCTGTCCATACATGTCAGCAGGTAGAGACCCTCTACTGTCCACTACCTTTCCACATGTATACCTTACACATTCTTGCCTCCACCTCTGTTCTTGTTCCTGCCATCCCTTTTACCTGAACTGTCTTTTCCTTCATCTCTGTCTATGCAAATCCTATCCATCCTGCTAGGCTAACATGCCTCCATCTCCAGGAAGCTCTCCCTGATTCAGAAGTGAACTCTGCTTTCTATCTCCCAAGGAGCCCCTATCAATTTTGCCTTGGCCAATAGCTATCAATGACCCACCCCCATCCCCACTCCCACCACCAAGCCTATATCAGCCTGTATCCTCCTTTTGGGCAAGAGCTTGTCCTCTGCACCTCAGCACCCTTGTGGGCATTTGATCTAGTGTAACGCCTCAGCTCCTTACCTGTTCACAGGGCTGGCGATGCATCCCTGGAGGTGGCCCCAGGGCCCGGATGACTCCTGGCCGGGGCTGTGCAGGGCTGTACTGGGGGTAGGCCATAGGCCTTGGGTAGCTGCTGGGTCCCAGGAAGTGAGGCTGCACCATCCACTGCAGCTCCTGGCTGCCACTCATAGCATTGATGCTCGGCACAAGGTGGAACTTCTGAGGGATAAGAAGTGGAGGATGAGGTCTGTGTGGATCAAGGGGCTTCTGGTGGATAGAAGCTACTCTGCCATCCACTCCAATGGTCCTGAGAGACAGCTTGGCAGTCATAGAGACTGGATGACAAATCCAGACAAATCCTGATCTGTATGACTTAGGGCAGGTCACATAACGTCTCTGTGCCTCCATTTCCCCATCAGAGCTAATACTTATAAAGTGTGAATTCCAGGCACTGTCCCAATCACTTCACAAATACTGACTCATATAATTTGCACAACAGTATCTTCATTTTTCAGACAGGAAATAGTTATCCATACACACAGCCAATAAGTGGAAAGTAAGTTTGGGTCCAGGGGGCCAGGCTTTACCCACTCCTGTACCCTGCCTGCATCCCATCTGCACAAAGAATCATTACAGCATCTAACTCTAAGGGCAGAGCTGTAAGAATCAGCTGAGAGAATGTGTGTGACAGAGCCCAGAAAACAGCAGGCAGGTGCCCAATGCACAGCGGCTGTGGTGGGCAGGAGCCACTGCTCTGGGTTTAGGCTGTTCTAATTCTACTGTCAGCTCAGCCACTTACTGGCTGTGACTCTGGGCGAGTTATTTAACCTCAAGGTGCTTCAGTTTCCTCATTTTTAATACTGTCATAGGTGAGGATTATGGCATCTCATTGATGCTAAGAAGTATCTTTTAGGAGCTCTGACATCAGTTTAATTGACAGCTTTTCAAACAATTTAGTGGCACAAAAAAATGGTTGTTTTTTTTTTTAAATCAATGGGGTCTTAGAGTCTGTGAAATACGGTAAATGAGGTGGATCCTGCCTAGGACCAAGCCTGGCTGCACTTTTTGCCCTCCAAATATTAGCTGACAAGATTTTCTTTCAGCCTGAAATCTGAGGAATGGGTTGAAAAGAGGCTCAGTGTTTGGGGAGAACTGGGTTCAAGCCCTGGAGGCTGGGTCCTGGGTGTGGGAGCACAAGTCGTCCGGGAAGGGCCCCACAAGCACAGACAAGTCCGTACAGCGGTGTCCCCGGCCCAGAGCTGCGGCCCCAGTCGCCCAGTAGCCCTAGTTCCGGGCCTGAGGCACCGACCGGCGGCATCTCCCGCTCCCAAGGTTGTCCGGGCCCGGGCCGCTCCAGGCCAGGAAGGGAGGGGCGCCCCGGGTGAGTCAGCCACCGTGACTCGGCCGCCGTGACTCGGCGAAACGGACGGCGCTCCTTCCCTCCCCTAATGACACGTGCTCGTGGCCCCTCCACAGGAAATGGGCACCTGCAGCCTCGCGGGTCCCCCCATCCGGCAGCGGGCGCCTTTTGGTGCCAAGAGTCAGGGGCACGGGAGTTGCCAGTGCGTGACCCCGCGCACATCCCGGCAATCCGCGGTCTCTGTTGGGCCCATTCTGTAAAGGGGTCAAGAGCCAGTCTCGTGGAGACCACCAGGCTCCATTGTGCCAAGAAGGGGATGCGGACTTGGTGACGGGGTACAGAGGGCCAGACAAACGGAGACACACACAAACGGTCACAGATAGTGCCGAGGATTCCCGGTCTGTCCGGGATAGCCTCCCTCCTGTGTGGGGACATCACGGCCGCAGCCCAGATTCTAGATCCTGGAAATTTAGTCCGAGATGGACCAGACCCTCCGAGCCGGTCGGGGCTAGGACTAATCTCGGGCTAAGGGGCCCCCTTCTGACGCAGATGGAGCAAAGAAATTAGTGGTGGACAGGAGGAAAGAAAAAAAGGCAACAGCGACGAAGGGTCAGATAGACAGCAGACAGCGAGGGGAAAGGGGCGAGCGAGGGAGCGGACAGTCGCAGACCTACGTTCCGCCCGCCGGGCGCGCTCCCCTCGGCTGTGGGCGGAAAGTGCCCCTAAGACCGCGGAGAACGCGCAGGATCCGCACGGTCCCCAGACCCGGTGCCTTCTCCCGCTCCCGGCCCCAGTCGCGGAGCGCGCGTGAGCGGACCGCAGCGTCCCTGGCGCTGTCCACCCGGGGATCCCAGGCGTCGGGTCCTTCTCACCTGCTGGCCCGTGGCTGGGGGCTGCGCCGGGCCGCCGAACGCACCGCCCGCTCCGGAGCTCGGTCCGGGTTCCCCAAAGTCTCGGAACATGCCCTGGGCTGGCTGGCTGGTGGGGTCCGCGTCGGCGGCTGGGTTCTGACTCACTCCTCACGGAGCCTTTTCTTTTTATGAATGAAAAGTTGTCGGGCTGAACCACTTTTGGAGGGGGGCGGGCGTTTCTCTGGGGTACGGGTCACCCCGGGCTCCACCTCCCCAGACGCGCCGCCTTCTGTCAGTCCTCCCAGAGCTGTTCGACGCCTCCTGCAGTCCGGTAGCCGCCTTTTTCACGGGCGAAAGGGAAGGACTGAGCATCCCCCAGCGACAGCCGCGGCCCCGCCCCCTCTGACGTAGATGCCCATACATGGTTCAATTTCCTCGCCGCGCCCAGGTGGCACCGAGGATTCCCCCGCGCACCTGCAGGCCACCCGGAGAGTCGCCCCGCCCCGCCCCATCTGCGATCTCCCAGGGCGAGCGCACCGCCCACTCCGGGACCCGCGCCCCAGAGTCCTCTCAGCGCCTGGTTTGGTCTCAGTTTTTGCATCCTTAAAATGGGACAAAATAATCACATAACTACCTCGCCGCGCGTGGGAGGAAGGAATGAAGAATGTGAAAGAGGTTCCGAAACTGTAAAGTGGATTATACATGTGATTGATTATTACTATTTATTGGATGCTTATTCATGCCAGGACCAAACTACTGCCGTCCAAGGCTTCACAGTTGTGGCCCGAGGCCCTTCCTCTGGCATTGTTTTAAAGTTCATCATGTACACTAAAAAGTGAATTAATGACAAGCCGGAGTTACAAAAAAATGGTGGTATATTTTAAATGCTTACAATGAGTAAGTTAATGTTCTGAACTACTCAGTTTCAATACAAATAATTGTGCTATTCACAGGATCATTTCAGAAGCTACAACAAGTTTTAAGTCAGAGCCCCTATAATCAGTGAGAGCCTGCGGTGGGAGACAGCTGTCCTGTTGTCTAAGGACCACCATCTTCTTTAGTGTCATTGCTCTTTCAGGACTGTGGTCACCGACCTTGTTTGGAGATTATATCAAAGGTCTATGTGAATGTGAGGGCAGTGCCAAGTGTCAACTAACAAAGGCCAACACCCAGGAGGTAGGTACCATCACTACCCCCATTTTAGAGATGGGAAAACTGAGGCTGAGAAATGTTAAATGAAGTGCCTAAGATCACTAAGTAGTGGCTGAAGCAGGTTGTGGCATCAGGGCTGTGGAAGCTCCATGGCTAGACCCAGGCAAGATTTCTCAAAGCCTCACAGACATTTTTCACACATGCAGAATGTCAGCACTGAGAAGACCACCACAAAACTCCTCTGCTTCCTCCCCTTCTACCCATGAGGAAACTAAGGCCCAGAGAGAGTAAGGAACTGCCAGGGCCACACAATAGCAGGGCTCCCCTGCTTTCCACGGGTACCTTTATTTAATCAGCTCCAGTTTCGTTCTCAGGGAAGGAAGATTTCAGGGAGGCAGGGTCTTGGGCTTCTTGGGAACAAAGGCCAGGGGTCTGTGGGTACACTCAGGACTTAAAAGCAGAAGGCCAGCTTGGCCCAGGGCTTCTAGTCCCAGAGCTACCACTGTCTGTCTCTGTGACCCTGGGCAGGTCATCTTCCTTCTGAGTCCCAGTCCCAATGGGAATTGAGCCTCTTGCTGATCTCACAATTTTGCTGTAAGATCAAATGAGATCATAAATGTGAAAGTGCTTTGCAAGCTGCAAGGTTCTGTGCACTCAGAAGATGGTTACCAGCCTGTGTCTCTCCCTTGCCCTTGTCTTTCTCTAAAAGGAAAAGAAACCAACAGCAGTTTAGCAGAATGAGAAATATTGGTGTGTGTGTGTGTGTGTGTGTGTGTGTGTGTGATTACATGACTCTGAAAGTCCGTTGCTGCTCTAACCGTCGGTGGAGCCACAAGGAGGTCCTTTCAGAGGCAGCAACATTCCAAGCTCCTCAGTCACTGACTCCCGCCTCGTGGCTGCAGAAACGTTCCTGGCCCCTGACCTCACCAGCTCCCACCCAGGGAGGCCAGGCAAGAATCCCAGGGGACCACTGATTGCAGGAGGCTGGGAGACCCAGGCGCTGTCCCTTGGCATTTGAACCTGGACCAGTCACTTTCCTTTTTGGAGCCCCAGAGAACCCATATTCCTTGGGCTGCAGTGAGGCTTGAGGGGTCAGTGGATGAGTATGCTTTGCACTAGTAGGTTCTGCCAGTACCATCAGGGTATTGGAGGTAATGCTTGTTTTTCAGTTCCCATTCACTTTTGAAATTAAGATTTATTTTTTAAATTGAGGTGAAATTCATATAACATGCAATTAACCATTTTAAAGTGTACACTTCAATGGATTTTGTGCATTCACAATGTTGTGCAACCACCACTTTACTCCAGTTTCAAAACTTTTATTGTCATTCCAGAAAATCACCCCATACCCGTTCAGTAATCACTCGCAATTCCCCTCTCCTTCTCTCTCTGAGTAACCACTAGTTTTCTTTCTGTCTATATGCATTTGCCTTTTCTGGACACTCCATATAAATGGAATCATAAACTCTGTGACCTGTCATGTCTGATTTCTTTCACTTAGCATAATGTTTTCCAAGCTCATCCATGTTGTAGCATGTGTCAGGACTTTGTTTCTTTTATGGCTGAATAATATTCCATTGTATGGACATACCACAATTTGTTTACTCAAAAGTTGATGGACATTGGATTGTTTTTACTTTTTGGCTATTGTGAATAATGCTGTTATGGACATTTGTGTACAACTTTTTATGTAGACATATTTTTCTATTTATCTTGGGTATGTACCTAAGAGTAGAATTGCTGGGTCATATGGCAACCCTCTGCTTAAACTTGTGAGGAATTGCCAGATTATTTACAAAGTGTTTACCCTTTTACCTTCCTACCAACAATGTATGAGGGTTCTAGTTTCTCCACATCCTTGCTAGCATTTACTATTTTCCATTTTAAAAATGAAAGACATCCTAGAGGGTGTGAAATGGTATCTCACTGTGTTTCGATTTGCATTTCTTTAATAGCCAGTCATGTTCCTTAATGATCAATGAACATCTTTTCATGTGCTTATTGGCCACTGTATATATTTTTGGACAAATGTCTAGTCCTCTGTTTGTCAAGTCCTCTGTCCATTTTTAAATATTTTTCTTTAAATGTTGTTGTTTGAATTATATAAGTTCTTTGTATATTCTGGCTACCAAACTGTTATCAGATATATGATTTGCAGGTATTTTCTCCCATTTTGTAGGTTGTCTTTTCAAATTTTTTTAAATGTCCTTTGCTGCATAAAAGTTTTTAAAAATTTTATGAAATCCAGTTCATCTTTTTTTTGATGCTTCTAGTGTCAAATCTAAGAATCCATTGCCAAATTCAAGGCTATGAACATTTACCTCAAGAAAACATGCTTTCTTCTAACAGTTTAATAGATTTATAGTTTTGGTTCTTATATTTAGGTTGTTAATGACATTGAGGTTTATCATACATGCAGCAAAGAGCACTCATCCATCATGTTCAGCTCAATATCTCCTTACACGAATGTAAGGCCATGTAGCTACCACCCTGATCAGCAGCAGCTCAGAAGCCCCTCGTGCTCCCTCCCAGTCATCAACCCCCACCCACAGGTAGTCAGTCACTCTTCTGACTTCTATTATCAAATATTAGTTTTGCATGTTCTTGAACTTCATGTAAATGGAACCATACAGCATGTACTCTCTTGGGTCTGGCTTCTCTTATTTAATGTCTGAGAGGTTCGTCTACACCACTGTGTGAAGTAGTAAGTAGCTTGTTCTTTTCTATTGCAAGAATATCCTGCAATCACTCTGTCGCTTCTCCTGCTGATGATATTGGAGGCTCCTCCAGTTTGGGGATATTATGAATAAGACTACTGTAACCAGTCTCTTGAGGATCTTTTTGCCCAGAAGATAGCTGGTTTTCTTGTATCTTGGAAATACTTCCACTGGCTATATGTATTTGCCCCATTAAAAAAAAAAATCTGCTTCATTGAGGTATATTTTACGTTCAACAAAATTCAGTTTTTTGAATGTCCTGGTCATATTTTTGGCTGTTGTACACATCTGTTGTAAGCACATTCCAGTCAAGATGCATAACATTTCCATCTGCATAGAAAGTTCTCTCCTGCCCCTTTGCAGTCAATCCTTTAGCTCAGAGATCACTTATTTCAGTTCCACTGCCATAGATCAGCTCTGTCTCCTAGAATTTCACATCGGTGGAGTCATACTGTGTGTGCCCGTTTGGTTCTGGCTTCTGTCTCTCACCATTATGTCTGTGAGATTCATCCAGGCTGTGTGTGGCTGTAGTTCACTCCTTTTGGTTGCTGAGTCCCATTCCATTACATGATGGCTAGTTAGTTTTGTTACCCATTCTCCTAAATTAACTGAATTAAAAATGGCATAGAGGGTATTATGCTCAGTGAAATAAGCCAGGTGGAGAAAGACAAATTCCAAATGATTTCATTCATTTGTGGAGCATAACAACAAAGCAAAACTGAAGGAGCAAAATAGCAGCAGACTCACAGACTCCAAGAAGGGACTAGTGTTTACCAAAGGGAAGGCGTTGGGGAGGGAGAAGGGGGTTAAGGGGCACTATAATTCGTAATCACATATAGGTAGGTCACAGGGAAGGCAGTACAGCGTGGAGAAGACAATTAATGACTCTATAACACCTTACTACATTGATAAGACAGTGACCGCAATAGAGGGGTGAGGACTTGATGACATGGGTGAATGTTGAAACCACTGTGTTGTTTATGTGAGCCATCGTAAGATTGTATATCAATGATACTTTAATTTAAAAAAAGTTGCATAGAGCCAGCAGTGGGGGATGTAGGGATGGTTAAAGGCTTGGTCTTAATCCCAAAGCACTTACAGCCCAAAGAGGTGATCAGACCTGGAGGAAAACAGTCCTGGCAGAAGGTAGATAGTGCTGGGTATGGGGGGTGGGCAAGGAGCCCTCAGCAGGGAAGTACCCTTTCCCACTTGGTGCAGGGCAGGCTTCTTGGGAGAGGAGTGTTTGACATTGGGGGACACGTTGCTTGAAATGGAGTCAGTGAGCACAAAGGCCGGGGTGGTGGGGGGAGGCTTGGGGTCCCTGCAGTCTAGGGTATGTGGTGGAATGTGTGTTGGGATTGTGTGCTGGAAGGGCCCAAGCCAAGGGCCCTTGAATGCAAGGCTGAGGAGCTTAACTTGGGCTGGGAGACAAGGGGACACCTGAGTGGTGTTTGCAGGAAAGTGACCTGCA